CCCCCCCCGGGTTGGACCAAGTGGATATTTCTTCCCACAGTGGGTTTCTGCGGGAATTTGGTAGAGCTGGTTTTGCCTTTGATAGTGCCAAAATCAGTGGTGGTGTTCAGCCGGTTCAGACCAGTTCAGGCAAACCTGCCGTCCTATTTAGCCATATTTTCTAAGCTGCCCACATGCGTGCAAACCATGCACGCACTCACATTTTCGGTACGCAGAGAACCGGTGATAAGATTATGTGAAACCCACCTCTGGCCGAAATGATGCACTCAGCAAAGTTTTGCACTGAGACATTGGCAGGTCTTGAGTAAGCTTGATTTGTCTGTGATCGACAGTCAGGATGTTGACATCGGGCTTATGTAGCTCTACAATAACAAGGAAATGGGAAAGGTGTGTAGGAGTGTGAAACTCAAGAGCCTTTTTGAAACAGGACTAGGTATGCCATTCATATATACAATTCTTTCCACTGCGCTCTCTTTTAAAGAAAGAAAAGGGAAAAAAAGTAGGTTAAACCAGGCAGTGTTTGCAGGTTGTTTTGAAGCGAAATAAATAATTAAATAACAACATGAAACAGGAAAAAAAAATATTGATCTTTCTTCACATATCTTTCCCCTACTTTAAAGTTCTCAGACTGGGAATATATGAAATATAGGTAATCCTTGACTTACAACCAAAAGTGGGATGGCAACTTTCATTGCTATGAGATGTAGTTGTTAAGTGAATCCTGCTTCCTCCTTGGCTTGTTTGTGGGAAGACCATGGGAAGGTTGCAAATGGTGACCCCAGGATGCCGCAACAGGCACAAGTGCATGCCAGTTGCCAAGCATTTGAATTTTGATCACGTGACCATGGGGGCACTGCAACAGCCGTCAGTGCAAGAACAGGTTTTTCAGTGCCGTTTTAACTTCAAACATTGTTAAATGAATGGTTGTAAGTCAGAGACTCCTTGTACCTAGAACTGTTTTTCAAAACTTAGCGATTTCAAGATATCTGGACTAGAATAATTTAATAATCGGTTCTCTTCCCTAAAGACCATCTAAGTAGATGGGGGTCGGTGGTCATGTGACTGGGTGGGCGTGGCCAACTCAAGGTCACTCAGGTCGATGGGTGCTTCACCTTAGCTGCTACAATGTAATAAGGGTTAACTGGAGAGGCAGTTTCTGTAAGCAGGGCAAGAAAGATTAGGCTAGAAACAACACCAGAATGTTTCCTTCCTGCCTTCCTACAGGATTAGCCCTGCAAAGTGGAAAAAAATAAAATAAGATTTCTTCCAACAACCGGTTCTCCGAACTGCTTAGAAAGTTAACAACCGGTTCTCCCGGATAGGTACGGACTGGCTGAATCCCACCACTGCTACAAAGATTCTCAGTCATCCAGGCCATTGTTGTCCCAAAGGTGCTTTTTCAAGAGGCAACTGGGACTTTCTCTGCTTCTCCTTGAAGATGTTTCGCTTCTCCTCCAAGAAGCTCCAAGAAGGGGAGTGGAAGGATAATTCTGTAACGTGTCCTCGCTGCAGAAATAATTTTAACTACATTGCGTGAATCCTTCATTCATGGAAATGAAATTGTTCACCAAGACGTGTGCATGGAAAGGGGGCAAAGAGGGTCTGTCAGTAATAATTTTCACCCACAAATGCACACATGAGTAAAATTCTCTAGTGAATTCTCAGTACCTTTTTAAAAAATTATTATAATTATCGGTTATGTTCACTTTGCGCGTTGCTTTCTTTTTGCATCAAAACTCGTTGCCTGCCTTTATCTTCCATGATTCAAATCAATCAGATAAATATTTAGTTCTGCTTTCAGAGACCGCTGGGCACATTTGTGTCGCTGTCAGATTTTGTGTAGGATAACACACACAGTTGAAGAGATTTCTAAGAAACTCAAGAAGGAAGCTAGCTATCATGAGACGAGAGACTTTACGAACCATCAACCAATCCATTTCGAAAGCTTTTACAATACATTCTTAAATGAAAAGGAGATATTTATGAGTTCGATGCTTTTTCTAGTTGATATGATAGAGTGCTGTAACTCAGGTAGTCCTCAAGTGATGACCACAACGGAGTCCAAAATTTCTCTTGCTAAGTGAGACATTTCTTCAGGGAGTTTTGCCCTATTTTACAATCTTTCTTGCAGAATCACTGCAATTGTTAATGTTGTTACTAACATGATTGTTAAGCGAACCATGGACTTTGCTTGCCAGAAAGCTGCAAAAGGGGATCCCATAAGCCCAGGACACTGCAACCGTCATAAATATGAATCAGTTGCCAAGCGCCTAAATTTTAATTGTGTGATCATGGGGATGCTGCAGTAGCTGTAAGGGTGAAAAACAGTCATAAGCAGGGGTGGGGTTGAAATTTTTTTAGCAACCGGTTCGCTGGATGGTTGCTGGGTGGGTGTGGCTATGGTGGGCATGGCCTACTTGGCATCCTGCACCATGGTGGGGAGCATTTTTTGCTCTCCCCAGGCTCTAGAGCAGTGTTTCTCAACCTTGTCAACTTGAAGATGTCTGGACTTCAACTCCCAGAATTCCTCAGCCAGCATTTGCTGGCTGGGGAATTCTGGGAGTTGAAGTCCGGACATCTTCAAGTTGCCAAGGTTGAGAAACACTGCTCTAGAGGCTTTCCTCGAGCCTCCTGGAGGGTGAAAACGGCCTCTCCCAGACTCCGGAGCCCCTCTGGAGGCCAGAAACGGGCCCATTTCTGGAACTTCCGGAACTTCCGGGAGGCCCGTTTTTTGCCCTCTCAGAGGCTCCACAAAGGCCCTGCGCTTACCTGGCATCCAAAATGGGCCACATGGAGACTCCTGGGAGGGGTGGGATGGGGTAGGCGGGGCCTACCAATTCTTGCAATTACCGTTTCGGCGAACCGGATATAAAATTAACATCCAGTTGGCCCAGACCGGTCTGAACCAGCTGAATTCCACTTCTGGTTATAAATCACTTTTTTTCCAGTGTCGCTGTAACTTCAAACAGTCACTAAATGAACCGTTGTAAGTCGAGGACTACCTGCAATGCATAAGTATTTAGTTTGGCAACCCTTACAGAAAATTTCAGCTAATCAATGGCCAGGGCTGCTGTCACACGCTAACCAAAAGGTGATTATTATTATTATTTTTTCACCAGCCCAAAAATTCCTTTTAGCTTTGCATAGGTAGTACATAATTAAAAATCATTTTCATGTCCTTTCACAAGAAATCAGATAAATGGCTAGTCTTCATTTCTCCACGTAGGCCTTTTTTCCCCTATCTTCTACATTTGCCTGACAGTTCGCAAGATTGAATTCAGAAGCTTTATCAAGGAGATGCAAATATGATGGTTTCATTTTAATTTTGCATTACAGAAGGAGGGAGGGGCAGTGCGGAGAATGAAGGAAGATTGGTTTTAAATAAATGTTGCATTGCTTGAAGATTTTCCAAGTAGGATGTCAAAGTCAGGGAAAAGCAGGAAACATGCCTCAATAATGCCAGAAAAAATTATATCACTTTTGCTTTCTAGCTCTGATTTTTTTTTCTGGTTTGGCTCATTTCTCCAATCGGGTATGCTTTAAAGACTAGAATTGGGGAATGTATAATAATGGTTTGCAACTGGCATGAGAAGTTTCATAAACACTCCAATCAACCTTTACGGGGGAAGTGAGAAAGTTGATTGTAAATGATCATAGTTTGGGAACAAAAATGAAATATACAGTAGTTAGTCCTCAACTTAAAACAAATCATTTAGGAGCTGCACTCAGTTACAATGGCACTTTAGAATAAAGTAGAATAACAGAGTTGGAAGGGACCTTAGAGGTCTTCTAGTCCAACCCCCAGCTCAGGCAAGAAACCATGTACCATTTCAGACAAATGGTTGTTCCAATCTCTTCTTAAAAACTTCCAGGGTTGGAGAATTTACTGTCAGGAAATTTCTCCTTAGTTCTAAGTTCTAAGTTGCTTCTTTCCTTGATAAGCTCCACTCTCAGTAAGTTTTGGAGCAAGTACTTGAGTTCTGTTAATATTCAATAAATAATGAATATTATGTGTGAGAATTAAAAAATATTGTCATTGCTAAATGATGCACAAGACAAAGAAGCAGCAAAAGAGAAAAAAAATAGCATGGCTTAGGTAGTTCTTGAATTATGACCATAATTTACCCCAACATTTCTGTTGCTAAGCGAGATAGTTGTTCAACGAGTTGTGAACCAGTTTACGTTTTTTCTTCCCACATTGGTTATGTGAATCACTGCAGTGGTTGTTAAGTGAATCTTGCTTCCCCATTGAATTTGCTTGTCAGAAGGTCACAAAAGGTGATGACATCACCCTGGGACACGGCAGCTGTCATATATATGAATCAGTTGCCAAGCCTCTGAAATGAGATCATGTGGCCACAGGGATGCTGCAATGGTCATAAGTGTGAAAAATGGTCATACGTCACTTTTTCCCAATGCCGTTGTAACTTCAAATGGTTATTAAATGCATGGTGGTGAGCCAAGGGCTGCTCATAAAAGTGCTACATATTTTCTTACATAACGTTTAGTTCTTAATCATGTTTTATTAGTTCTCCCTGGCAGAACATGAGGCTACAGCTATTATGGGAGAGGAATGCAAGGGTGTACTTTAAAAGGGATGCTGTGGCTCAGTGGCTAAGATGCTGAGCTTGTCGATCAGAAAGGTTAGCAGTTCGGCAGTTCAAATCCCTAGTGCCGCATAACAGAGTGAGCTCCCGTTACAGCTTTGAAAGGGAGATGAGCACCACCCCCTAGAGTCAAGAATGACTAGCACATATGTGCTAGGGCCGTGATGGCGAACCTATGGCACGCGGAGCCATTTGTCAGGGGTGCCATTTGTCTGGAGTGTGAAAAACTGGCCCTATGGCCAAACCGGAAGTTTGGGAACGTACTTTTGATTTGCTCATGGAGCCGGTTTTAGCTGTCCGGAGCCTTCAGGGGCCTTCCGGAGGCTTCCCTGAAGGCTGTGGAGGGGAAAAAAATAACCCTACGAACAAACCAGAAGTGACTTCTGGTTTGCTCATAGGGTTTCCCCCCTCCCCCCGGAGCCTTTAGGGAAGACTCCGGAAGGCCTTGAAGGCTAAACTGGGCTAAAACCGGCCTTACGAGCAAACCGGAAGTCTGTTGCCGAAATTCCGGTTTGCCCGTAGGGGTGGTTTTTCGCGCTCCAGAGGCTTCAGGGAAACTCCTGAAGGCTTCAAATGGCCTCCGGGGCGGGGGGTGTGTGTGCGTGGGTGTGTGTGTGGAGGATGTTTTCACCCTCCCCAGGCTCCTATAAAGCCCCTGGAGCCTGGGGAGGGTGAAAAAAGCACGCCAAAAATGTGAGGGGAGCGCTGGTCATGCGCGTATACATGCTGGGGTTGTGTGCATTGTATTATGGGTGTGGCACGCATGACCTCCCCCCCATGCTCCCCCTGCCATTGCTGTGCTAACCCTAACTTTTTACCTTTAGGGGAGGGGGGGTTGTATTCAGTTCTATTCTCAGGATTCTCAGGATTCTTTCTAACTGTTGATTGTATTTTCATATCCTGAAGGCACTTATATTGGCTGCTTTGGCGACGACTCAAGGAAAAGGACGTTGAAAGGAGCCGTGTTCTATGACTTGAGAAAAATGACAATTTCCCATTGCCAAGAAGCCTGTGCTGAGAGGTAAAAGAATAAAAGAAAAAAATGTATTTTATTTTTTCCTACATGCTGTTGCTCCTAAAGGCGAAATCAATCTAACATGAATTGGTCCTTCTTTTATATGTATTGACTCAGGTATGCGAGAATGACCTTGGACAACAAAAGGAAGAGCCACAGTCTGGAGAACAGTCAGATAAGAGGCAGCTGAGCGCACAGAAGGAATGGGTAGCATGGCAAATGCCTCAAGAGGGACTCTCCTTACTTTCTTGGTCTGTAAAGATGAGGGGAGAGAGCGATTTGCTTTCGTTCTTGCAAAGAATGTGTTAATGTAGCCTTACAATAAAGATGGAGGTAGTATTTATAGATATGCTTGTTGTTTAGACTGCCTCACAAGCAGTGATGGCATTCAAAAAAAATTTTTTACTACCGGTTCTGTGAGCATGGCTTGTTGGGCATGGCAGGGGAAGGATACTGCCACATCCCCATTCCCTCCCCCACTCCTGGGGGAAGGTTACTGCAACATCCCCATTCCAGAGGTGGGTTCCTGCCAGTTTGCACCTATTCGGTAGAACCGGTTAGAAGAGGTTCCACCAGTGGACTTGGAAAGCAGGCCACACCTACAGAAGAGGTTCCAAAAAATTTTGAAACCCACCACTGCCCCCCCCACACACAGAGAGAGACAGACAGACTGATATAGAGAGAGAGAAAGAAAGGAAGAAATAAAGAAAAAAGAAAAAGAGTGAGAGAGAGATGAAAGAAAAAAGAAAAAAGGAACAGAGACAAAAGGAAGGAGAGAAAGAAAGAAAGAAAGAAAGGAAGGAAGGAAGGAAGGAAGGAAGGAAGGAAGGAAGGAAGG